TTTTGTTTAAGGAACCGAGATGATATTGCAAAAGATGCTTCACTGCAGTTAGAAAACGTATATATGGGTGAAGGAAATTTATGATAAATACTAAGCAATCAATTATTACTAGAACTGTGAGGTGCAGTCGGACTACCTAGTTTTTTAGTCTTGATTACCTTTCTATTTTGAGCAATAAGGAGACAGAGTCGACTTATTTAGTCAGTCAACAGAATGCTAAGTTGACGTTTAATTGATTGTTGTTTGAGTAGATTACTTTTAAAGTTGTATAGTGTAGCAGGTTATCTAATCTTTGTTCAAGTAATCCACTCTCTATACATGTGACAAAACTCAAAAAATATTAACCTGTATATGATAACGAAGTTTGTGTGACTATTATTATTATTATTAGCAGGGTCATGTGTCGAGGTTAACCCAAGAAGCACGAAATAGAGATGAACGACGCAAATAATTAGGTATCAGGTGTAATATTACTTATCATCTTAGGTTCTTAACTGATTATTACCACGTTAATATTAGTGGTGAAATAATTTTCTTTCTTTCTTTATTCTTTAATCATAATATAACCGTAGTATTTACCTTCCTTTCCTTTTATTTGTGAAAAATAGAAGACGGTAGTCTTCAAAAGTCAATTTATCGAAAGCCTATATGGAAAGAACAATACTTACATTTCAACAGCCTTTGTCCAAATAGCTTTAAACGCGGTCTAGTCAAAACTCTGTACTATAGAGCGAGGAGAATATGCTCTATAGAGAAATTAGAGGAAGAATTTGAGTTTCTTGAAAAGACATTGAAGAGCAATGGGTACCTTCAAAGGTTCATCAACAAGTATGGAAGATCTGAAGTCAAAAATGTAAAACAAATCATAGTGGGGTAAAAAGCCAATCTACTTTCAGCTTGATTATAAAGGTGAAAACATTACAGCGATGATCAACAGAAGGCTGAGTACATCACTAACTATAGCCTATCCTGCAGCTAAGCTCGTTCCCGTCTATCGAACAACTTGCTCTTTGGTGCAATCAAAAATCGATGGATATCCTTCTCATGTTAACTCCAACTGTATATACAAATTTACATGTATCTGTGGGAGCAGTTACATTGGAGGGACAGAAAGAAGGGCATATCTACGATTTTCTGAACATGTACCAAAAAGCTTACGTCTAAAGGGAACAAATGCTTTAAACAGTGCCATCGCCAGGCATCTCCTCGACACGGGTCATGAGGTGGAAATCGAGAAATCCTTTAAAATTATCAGTAGACAAAGGAGCTCCATTCTCTTCAAGTTTGCCGAAGCAATTTCTATCAAACGCTTCAAACCAGATTTGTGTGTTCAGAAAGAAGCAGTTATTAGTCTTTCCTTGCCATGGTAACTGCATGTCTTTATTCCCTACTCTGATTACGTAATCTTTGTCTTTAAACTCACCCCTCTTTTTTTATAATCTGTAATATTGCTTGTCTCTTGTTTCTGTGACGTGATTTGAACTCAGTACATCGTTACCAAACTTATTAGTTACTCATCATCTTACTCACCTCTCATCTTTATTACGTAACTCCTTTGCTATTGTATGTATACATTTATTTTGACTTGAACTGCCTGTGTAAAAACTATATAAGCACAATTTTCTGAGCACTTTTCACTAATTGTGGAGCTTTCTGTCAACTGACAACATGTTAAATTTGCAAGTATGTCAAAACTTTTCTGTATGTAAACCTCACAATTTATTTAGGCTGTAAGCAGCTGATGAGAAGCCGACGAAATAAATGATGGTACCATATTATTCTGCACAAACCACTGTTGTTCTTGCTTTATTTAAATTCATCAAGGGGAATAAACGCATGAAAAATAAAAGCGTTTTTCAACTGTTACTTAAAATTACTATAAGTAGTCTAAAAACCAGCACGAAAATTGTCATCAGTAGTTGATATCTTATGTTTTTAATAAAATAAATCATCAAATTTTATGAAGAAAACAAAAATTATGAAAACATTCCTAAAATCTTTGTGGTCTTATCAATAAGTTTTGAAAGTTTCGACTTCATTAATTCATCTGAAATACGTTTTTCTTCAATTTAACTTGTCAACAGAAGTTGGCAACACTAACTGTAGAAAGGAAAGAAGTAAAAGCTCTGCTGCAGTTGAATGAGCATTCCTGCAGAAGAAATACTGAATTACGATGGAAATTATAATTAATCATAATTTCAGCTTGTTTTGTCTATCTTTTGGAATAATTTGGTGGGTGATGACAAGCAGTGGAATCCAAGATGCATATTACGTCATATTTGGGACTTGTCATATGGATGTACCTGCATTTCCCAGTCACTGAGGCTCGAAACTAGTACCCACCTTTTCAATCGGTAAAGCCTTATCCATTAGACCACTTGAGCAATGAGAGCCACCAACTTTTATGCACCTTTGGTGTCAGTTATTATTTAATTCAATTTGGAGTCGACAAGTCAACAGAGGCAGAATAATTCGGTCCAGTCAATCAACAAGAAAATCCCAGTTGAATGAAATACTAGCTGACAACTGTTGCGCAAGAGGTGGTGGCTGTTGTGGTTCAAATGGTCTTGTGGATAACACTTTGGCGTTTGAGATGATAGGTACTGTTTCCGAACCTCAGTGGGATCACCATCACTTTCCAGGTGTATCTAGATGACGAGTGCCAAATAGGCTGAAATGCCCATCCTGGATTACACTGCCAGTCATCACCCACCAAATTACTTCGAGTGTAGTTCTCAGACTTCGTCGAAGCATCCGTGCAATGGGCTGACATGTCAACAGAGGTCAAACACTTCGATCCAATCAATCAACGGAAAAATTCACACTGAATTAAATATCTTTTGGTATGTTTTAAGTATTTGCACATCCCAAGGAAAATATGCCCTTCGGAAAAAGAATGGCTAAATAACACTAAAGACTGTGAGATGCAACATTAGATAGATAACGTTTAGAAATAAAATGTAAGGATTTTATTTGGTTGATGTTGAAAGCATAATGTGTTCTGTCCTATTTGAGATTCATCAGCTACATGTACCGTTATTCTCAGACAGTTGTGATGTTGCCAGTGAAACGTGGACTAAGCATCCATCATTTTGAGGTTTATTTCAACAGGGACTGGAGATTTTACCCCAGCAAAATCAGCCAAGGGGAATTCATAATAATAATAATTGCAACAAATGAAAAATTTCTGAAAAGGAAAGGATTTTAACCTTATTTGATGGAGGAATATTATTATCGGTGGTTTTGCTTCAAATTCTTAAATTTATCAGGTCATATTTGTTATCATCACTATACTGGTCACATATATGATGGGTACCTATCTAACATTTAACTTTGTTCCCTCCTTTGTTCTTCTTGCGAATATATATTACCTAGCAGCAGAAACCAGTGTGTAGCGTTTTGTCCTCTTCACCAAATTAGATCTATCGGTAAAAGTGATCGCATCAAGGATATTTAATCGATTATTCATCAATTAGAGAGCGATATGTGTAGAACTATATCGAAAAGCCCTAAAACTGTACTTCACCAATGTCTGAAATTGTTTCAATGAGGAAGAAATCCATTTCAAATAATTATACCACCCAATGTCTACTTTCTTCGAACAACAGTTTCAGCATTTTCCGTGCATCAGGATTATAAAAATTATTAAATATACATCGACTTCAATAAAAACTCCAAAAAAGCAAAATGAGCGAAACTGTTATACGCTAAATACACCCAACTTTACGCTTTATATTTGACAGTAAGTATTTAGCACTGAAGTCAGTATTTCAGGGTCACTTGCTGAAGTAGAAGATTTTGGGTCTGAAGAAAACATCAATGTAACCATGTGGACAAGACATTTTTGTCAGAAATTTTATTGTAGTTAATCATAATAAGTTGTTTATAATAAACCTAGAGTCAAATGACGACAGTAAAAGATGTATACTTATGGGATGATTATATATTATAAATCCTTCCTTGTAGTTACATGGCAGTCAACATTTGAATAAGTTTCCAGCAAAGAGAAGCAGAATGTACCGTAGGAAGATTGTTATATATCGCATTAGCTTTAGGTACGGAATTCAGTGTCTTGAGGGTCTGAGTCATGTTCTTATCAGTAACGATATGGCATTTATTTCTACGGTCAGAGACTATCTCAAAACTAACACTAATGTTTTTATGCGTTCACAGATCTTATATTTATAATGTATTTCATTCCACATCTAAGATCTGCAAACAGAAATCCTCATGAACAACTGAGTGGTGCCTTGACTGATTATCTAATAATCGATTCACTTATAAGACAGTGCTCTCTGTTTACAATCTTAGATTTTATAGAAAGAACAGGAATTTCTCTGTTTTCAAAGCTCCGGTAAGTCTACCTCCAATATATTTACTATGAGTGTGCTTTAAACAAGTAAAAGTCTAAATATAGAGTTAACTTAAACCATGTATGAATGTTTACTATAGATATGTCTTGATATTGTCCTCTGATAACGTTTTCTGAATGCATTTTCTAAACGTTCTGCTTCTAAAATAAGAACCGCGATTGATAAAGATATCCAAATCTTCAAACTTGTAGGAAGAATATTAGCACCATTCAGTGCCTTTCCCTCCGACCACATGAATAAATCCACCTAAAGGAGACGGATATTCGAGAAGGTATCCAGTTTTCTAGAGCATATGGGAATGTCAAGAAATATAGAAACTATATAGATACTAGAGGAATTATTATTACATAAAACATGCATCGAAGTTTTCGTTACATAGAAACAATCTAAAATATGACAGGTGCTACTGAAATGTTTTACTTATTTAGTAAAGACATTGACAGATAGTACCTAAGGAGCATTACTTGATGGTACTATTGATTTAGTAATCTACGTAGATATCAGCAAATAATATGAGGATTGAAACCACAAATTAACAATAGAAGAAAATCAATTTGAAGAAATTAGAGTTGACCAATCATTGGCTTTGTTTAAGTAGAACAAAAGAAACATCAAACCATTTTATCATTTTGAATAATTCTGAGGTATGCATAGTTGGTAGTAGCAGTTATACAACATAATAGAGAAATGTTTAAATGCAGTCTCGCTTGTATACAGTGCATGTTTAAACATGATCAGAAGATTGGATCAAGTACCAAGGCTCAATCTAATGATGCATTTCATCTTATTCTTTACCACCACAAGTATCATGTATAAATTATCTCATAAAACGCGCCTCAGTATTACCACGAATCATGTTTTGCAAAACCAGAGTTAGTTCTTTTCATAAATGCAAATGACTGTGAACTATAAGTATGTGAAGTTCATTTGTTAATATTTTATCTTAATATTTTGATATATATACATGTATATATATATATATGTACTGTGCACTTTTCTCCATAAGGTGTAATCTTTCAAGTTCGATCTCTAATTGACTTCAGTTAGAGAACCAGTGAAAGCAGGGGAGTGCTGAATAGCAGTTTCTTAATTGATTAGGACTCTTCATCAGTACTCATCCATGAAACCACCAGGAATTCAAGCCATGAACTTCAGGTGATATGGCGAACACATTGACTGATCAGTCCAACGGCTCATTAATCCTAACTTCTTCCAATTATCGACTGATACCCAGCGTCGCCGGTGAGTATATGTTCTCACACTCAACTTGGTGGACCCTACTAGTCACTAGGCCTTTATACAACTTCATCCTGTGGTAATTAGCCATTGGGGACAAGATTAATTTCCCAGTGGTGGTTCCAAGGGATTCGACTGATTTCAAGTCTGATTATGGCACACGGGTGCTTACTGATGAAGAGTTCCAAACAAAGACGAAGCACTTATCTAGTACTCCCTGGTTTCAGTGGTTCTCTAACCAAGGTCATTTCGTCATTAAACTTCTCTTAGCAACACCACTATTCTGGCAGAAATGCCCGTCCTCAAATGTGAACTTAACATTGTAAGTACATAAAAGCAGTAACTCTTTTAAATGAGATATGCTCACTGGTAATAAGAAATTGTTGTTAGAGATGTAGTCACTTAAAATGTCAACCGTCTGTAACAGGGGCAAAAACCCAACGGTCCCTGCAGGTTAGGGCTACAAAATGCATTCAAAATTGGCTGCAACAACAAATAAAATTACCAGAAGCAACTGATTCCAGAAATACATGCCCAACATTATTTGTAGCGAAGCACATCATAGACACCGGTCATAAGGTTGATTTCAATAATGCCTCTAAATCCATATATAAAACAAGGTTGGGTCACATAATTAAATTCGTTGAAGCCTTGGTCATAGAGGGGCCTAAACCCGTTTATGTGTCCAAAAATTATTTGTTATTACTTTAAAACTGCCTTGGTGGTTCAATCAAGAACCACTGTTCGATTTACTGAATGATATTTTCAGTATGTATGCATGCCAAGTAATCCACAACGGGAAACTTACGGAATCCTTCGAAGTGAGGACAGGAGTAAGACAAAGCTGCCTACTATCACCAGTGATTTTCCTGATTGCAGTAGATTGGATAATGCGACAAACAGCGGGCAATGAGGGAACAGGCATAAAATGGACTCACACAAAGAACTTGGAGGATCTGGACTTCGCCGATGATATATGTCTGATTTCCCACAAACTGGAAGATATGCAAGCGAAAAGCAACAAGTTGGCAGAAGAAGCATCAAAGGTAGGACTTCAGGTGAACATAGAGGAAACAGAGGTGAAGATTCCTGGGCAACACCACCAACAGCAACAACAACAGACAGCAATCAGCATAAATGGAAGGAACCTGAAAGAAACAACCTCCTTTGCCTACCTGGGAAGCATCGTTTCAACTACAGGCAGACGGAACTAACGAGGATATCAAAACAAGAATCGGAGAAGCAAGACAAACTTTCACTACTCTCAAGTCTGTGTGGAGGTCAACAGCACTCAGTATCAAAAATAAGATCCGGATTTTCAACTCCAATGTGAAGTCAGTGCTACTATACGGATCAGAGACTTACACTGCGCGTTATAAAGAGCATCTCAAACAAACTGCAGACCTTCATTAACAGTTGTCTTCGCTCAATACTCAAGATCAGATGGCCGGCCAGAAAAGATCAGCAACAGAGATCTCTGGGAGCGAACCAACTCAGCAGGAACCGGTTGTGAAACAAATAGGCAGGAAGAAATGGAGATGGATTGGTCATACTCTGAGGAAACCATCAAGTGACATCCTTAGACAAGCCCTTGAGTGGAACCCGAAAGGGAAGCGGCGAGTTGGTCGTCTAAGGGTGACTTGGTGGAATTCATGTGAAGAGGAGGTGAAAGTGTATGGGCAGACTTGGAGCCAGGTGAAAACTCTATCAGGGAACCGAGGGCAGTGGAGACGCATGGCTGAAGCCCTATGTTCCTCTAGGAATTAGAGGAAACAATAATAATGTATAATAATAATAATTTTCACCCATCTCTTATAATAAAGGGTTTTGCATTTCCCAATGAATGAAAAACAAAACGTTACTGTTTTTACTGACGTTTCGCTATTTAATGCTGCTAATAGCTCTATCAACGTATTATTAAACCAGAATTTACAAAATCTCAGATTATATATAACAACTTATTCATCGTTCCTCAGCATGAGGCCATTTGTGCGTTGTCAAGTTAGTCAATTGGTAAAGATAACAAAACCAGGTGTAGATTGTTGGATTTGATAAGTGTATAAAATTATAAAAGCAGCGTGTGTTTACATAATGAAATTGCCTATCACATTCGTGTTGATTTTGTCATTTCATGGGGGAGGGAGGTTTTGCATCCATGTCAAATTCTGTTTTACTCCAGCATTCCTATTCAGACAATTTGAATTCCATTTTGATATGAAGTGCTTCTGATATGAGACGTTCATTTTGTTTTCGGAAATTTTTCTGGATTATTTCAATATTGTCGAAATCAATTTTGTGGCCTGATTTTATAGCGTGTATGCGTTTAGCTGGTGATTTTTCAGGCTCTTCTAGTTCAACTGCATTTATTGGTGGTCAAACAGATGTTATACGGTGTTCATTTCTTTTGATTTTGATTTCTCCAGATGTTTGTCCGATGTATATCACATCGCATTCCAAGCATGTTATTTTATAGACACAGTTAGACAGAGAGTCCTTAGGGATTTGGTCATTTATATGGGCAAGGTTGCTTTGCAGTGTGTTTTGAAAAAACTCTGATGGTGAGCTTATTAATTAAGTACTCTTCTGATATCGTCTGATGTCTCCACTCTATTTGGAATGACAACAGTTGAGGTCCATGTTTTCGGAATACGTTTTCGATCATACTTAGTGTCAGTGTTGATTTTGTTGATGAAGTTCGTTGGGTAGTTGTTTTGCTTGAGAGTTTCAGAAATTGTTTGATATTTCTTCTTCTTCTTTTTCTTTCTCATCCGTTATCAGCGAGTGCGCTCATCTAAGAAGACTTGAAACAAGTGGTACCTTTGTCCTGATGAGGCGTAATGATCCGAAGTTTAAATATTTGTTGGAATGTGTTTTCTTCCTAAATATAGATATATTAAATTAACGGTTTTCCCACCTCTTAACTGGGCAATCTAGAATTGGTAGTTCACCACCATCTGATTCTGCTTCCAAAGTAAACTGGATTCTGTTTCTTTGGCTCTTTCTTTTTCTTATCCACACCCTCACTTCATCTCTCTACCCATTATTTGTGACCTTAAGCTGCAAACAGGTGAACATAGACAAGACGGAGGTTTTGAAAATAACCAACCAACCAACAACAACAGCAGCAAAATCCAGCGTCAATCACCATCAACGGGAAGGATTTGAAAGAGGTTACTTCTTTCACTTATTTAGGGAGCATTGTCTCAACTACAGAAGGAATGGACGAAGATGTCAAATCGAAAATCGGGAAGGCGAGAAACACATTCATCAACCTGAAACCAATCTGGAAATCTTCCTCACTCAGTATCAACAACAAAATTCGGATTTTCAATACAAACGTCAAGTCAGTTTTGCTTTACGGATCAGAAACTTGGCGGGTCACAAAGAATATTTCCAACAGCCTGTTGCAGACCTTTATCAACAACTGTCTTCGTTCCGTACTGAAGATCAGATGGCCGGAGAGAATCATCAACAAGAAAATAAGGGAACAAATAAAACAAGAACCAATCGCTCAACAAATATGCAGGAGAAAGTGAAGATGGATTGGACACTCGCTGAGGAGGCCGTTGGGTGACATCGCGCATCAGGCCAGTGCTCGAGTGGAACCTGAAAGGGAAGCGGCGAGTGGGACGTCCAAGAGTGACATGGAGGAGATCGTGTGAAGAGGAGTTGAAACAGTATGGACTAACATGGATGCAAGTGAAAAGTACAGAAGAAGACAGAAGCAAGTGGAGACGTGTAGTTGAAGCCCTATGTTCCACTAGGAACCCAAGGGAACAATAATAACAATAATAATTGAGCTGCAAACAATTGCAATAATTCATGCTATTTTGCCTTCTATATAATTGTGTATGACAAGTACGTGAGTGTTCAGAATGTCCGAAGTTTGTTGCACAAATATATTACACGTTCCAGATAAACTAGATCTTCTCACGTATTTTTTGTCGGAATACAAGATAGTCGCTTCAGTTCACTACAGTGTCACCCTACTTCTGCTCTTCCCTTTTTCATTTAGTTTCTTCTAACAGTGAAGAATTAAATTAGGGCATTTCCGGGGTGGAATTCCACGTTAATTCGTATATTTTAATGATGACTGTGTTGCAAGTGATGAACATCTGCCGTTTATACGTTCTTATTATTTTATTCGCTTTAAATTTTCGAATAACTGTAACTAGTTAGCTGAGGCCATTACACCTAAGTCATTTGAATACAAGTCCTTGTACTTTTTTAACTAATTATCATTTCTGAATGTAAGTAGGTATGGTTCATGATATTAGGTGGGAGACGGTACCAGGTCTTTGTCTTGTTCAAAACAACTAATCTCTTATTAGAATAGATTGTGAATGCGGTAGTCACTACTTAGTACTAATAAACGCGGTATCAACTCAGCACTTGATTATGACTACGCTGAACAAAAGTAGACCACATAAATGTATTGAACGTCACTAGCTAAAGTCATTTTGTAGCTAAGTCTCTTGCAACTCCAATACTCATGATTGTTCTTACATAGGAAGATAACCATACATGAAGCAGGACAAAAATGTACCAGTCAGTATCTTCTCGGCTGTTTACAATCTGAATTAAAACAAAGTGCACTGTGAAGAAATGAAGTAAGAAAACCTGGATTTCGGTTTCTTTCTCTTAGATGACTAGCCATACATAAATTTAACATGGGCCAACAAAACTATGTGAAGGCTATAGTTTGATTAATTTCATATTTCCATATGCAATTAGAATTAATACATAATTATTAAAAGATTTAATACACTCAGTTATCCCATAATTGTTTTCTCCTAATTCTTCACAAAAGGCTTTATGAAAACAGGCATTTGAATCTAAACAACTGCATGCAATTTTATAACTTACTAACTACTTTCCTAGTTAAAACAGTTGGTTAAAATATTGTCTTTTGTAACACAGTTGTGAGAAACAATCAAGACCAATACTAATGGATAAGCAACCTTAATTTAACCTATTTGGAATCATGTAAAATTTATTGATCAAGAATTTTCAAGTATTGGTTTTTGTAGGGATTTCGTTTGATTGGTTGGAGAACTTCATCATGAGCTGACATCAGTTGGAGAACCATTGGGAAACCAGCTGGGAGTATCGCACAGCTGTTTCCCCCTAGTTTCAGACTCCTCATCACTACGCACCCACCAGGGTTTGAACCTCGGACCTCCCGGTTACAAGGTGAGCTCGTGGACCATGAAGTCACTGGGACACGGTCAAATGGCCAACACACGAATTCTAACTTCTACCAATTCATGACGTAGCGTGACTACTTGACAATATTTTCTTCAATGAGTTACTGCTTCACCTTCAACCTGCTGCATCCTACTGTTCATGGCTTCCCACTAGAACCCCAGGTCACTGCGTGAATACGGCCAGTCACCAATGAGCATCAGATGAATTTTCAAGTTATGGTTTTTGTATTTCTTAAGATTATGCTTTCTATATATATATATATAATACGGTGGTTTGCCTAAAACTTGGGCTACCGAAAACCTCTATCAATTTATTCCATACAATTTCTCTTATTCAGTTTGTTTAAATCTAGTAAAATATAACCTATAGTAGTAATGATTCCTGTGGAGGGTATTTAAAATATTTACAACCTGCTGATTCGCAAGTTTCTATAAAAACATGTGGTCTCCTTGGTTCACAAAATGTTCTCCGGAACGTTTTATTATTGGCATTTAACGAAATATGGTGTATTTCTCGAAGGAGGAAAAGAAGATACAGCATAATGGATTGTTTTGCCCTTTCAGGTCAGATAGAACTTTGTCACACTATCTACTGTCAATCAAATCTTTTATTTCAAGATCCTGTAGGAAGAGAAAATACCAATCAATAAACGTCAATAATTTCTACTGTTTTGTTGCAGTAATCGTACCAACGTTTGATAATCACATTTCATCTTGTTTCGTAGACTGAATATCAGCTTGAAATATGTCTAAAATAACTTACGGGCAAAGAGTTTGCAGCTCAAGAACATATAATGAACCACTTACCTTAGATTTGATAATAATGTTAGGCTCAAACTAGTGGGCCACAAACCTTCAGCCAATATAAACTTGACACAAATTTGTCGTAATATAGCTTTTCATAAAAAGTTGACTATGATTCTGTTATTAGTGTAAGTTGGCTTTTTCTGATACATTACTAATCTGATATGTCTACATATATTTATATTTGCAGATAACATTTAGTTCATCAAAGAACTCACAGTTTTATAATGTTCAGCATTCATATACGTCAACCATTCAATCGGTTATATTATCTGAAGAAATTTAAATGGGCTTCATGCTTTTTCATTTTCAAATGTATTTTTAAGTTTTTCCTAATCATATTTTTTCTAGAAATAGCATACTTTATGGTAGCAGTATTCCTTAACAGTGTTTCACATTCGAAATACAGTATTGAAAAAGATTTCTACAGAGGAAATTCTGTCGACCGTCATGTAAATCAAACAAGGAAATCATTAAAGATGTTAAATAAAAATGTCAGTAAATTTTATAAATACTTATTTACACCAAATACAGTACATATTAAAACAATACTAACACCATTAAATAACTGCGATAAGGTGACACAAACAAATACAACAAATATTCTAGTTTTTGTTAAATCAACAGCTAATGAGTTCGACTTACGCCAATCAGTGCGTGCTACATGGGCTAACTCTCAATGCTTCACAAGATATGGTATAAAAGCATACATTTACTTTACATTAGGCAGAGGAAATTCATCAAACTGGAATGAATCCTTAATGCAGTATAGAATTTTACTTGAATCTAAGCAATATCAAGATATTCTACAGTTTGATTTCGTTGAAAGTTACTACAATTTAACACGGAAATTGATTGGAACTATTCAATATGCTACATTCCATTGTTTTACGTCGAAATTCATTGTACTAATTGATCATGATTTTATTGTGAATCCAGTGAATTTAGCGAAATTCCTTTTAAACATCAGTGATGCACAATATCCAAGATATGTTGCTGGTCATGTGATTAAAAATGCTAAACCATTTCGTACAAATAAAAGCAAATGGTTTATCTCAAAAACAGTCTTTCCTTTCAATTCTTATCCAAGCTATCCTCTTGGTGGGACAATTATTTTTAGTCGTCCAGTTATAAGTGAATTGAATAAAAAACTAATTCATATGAAGTTATTTCCATTCGATGATGTATTACTCGGCATAGTATTACAAAAAATGAAAATACCAATCTTTTTTATTAAAAATATTTTTCTGTCAAAATATCCGTTGGATTTTAGAAGACAATTTCTTACGGCACAAACAAACGGTGTTCCAAGTATAATGGTGAATACATGGAAATCTCTACGATTTACTGATATGTGTATACCATAAAAATAATAGATTAGATACTAATCTTTCAAACTTGTGTCTACAGTGAACTGGGTATTTGATGATATATTTCAGACTGAGTCAGGCATGACTGGTACATTTCGTAAACCAAATAAATTATAATTGTATTTCAATAGTTTACACACAATGATAAGTTTTCATTTTCGGTAGTATTTCGAGCAAAATTGCTGCATGTGATGACACAAACTGTTAGAACTGTTTTTTTAAATTCACACTTTTGTGATTTGTACTCATATATACATAGTTCATCTTTTGTCCATTCATTTTTTGTGCATCCAGAATTATATTCCAGGTTGTTGTCACTTGTGCTGAGTCACTCTTGTTACATACATTCAGCGTGACCATAATGAATATCGATTCTGTTGGTAGTCTCTCTTTCCATTTGTTCATATTAGATTTCAGAATACAAAGTGATCCAATCATTATTGTGGTTTTTGTCCGATGCATGTACAGTTATAAACGAATTTTTCTCAATTGTTTAGTTAGAGGATCTCATCATGAGCTGACATCGGTTAGAGAACCATTGGAAAACCAGCTGGGAGTACTGCACAGCTGTTTCCTCCTCTTCTATACAATCAAACGAAATCCCTACAAAACCACTACTTTCTAAATTATTTTAAACTTGTGTTTCTGTGGGATGACATTTAGTGAAGCATTTATGTTCATTCACTCTTATTTGGAGTGATTAAGACGTTTGATCCAAAAACAAAATCTTATTGTGTGTAAACAACTGAAATATAATTATAATTTTTATGATTTATTCCACAATGCTCAAACTTTTTACTGACTTTAATGTAAAGTATATGTTTTCGTGTTGTTTAGTTATGAATCAAGAATGCTGAAATATTGATTTATTTTAATTATCACAGCACAACACTAAATAATTCTCAAAAGACTCTTTGCTGAGGAGAAGAAAGACGTTCAAAATATTTCTTCTTTATTTAGCCCGAAAATGCAAAATATAAGAAGCTATTGTATGCCTTACTTTAGTAAAGACTACAAATTTGAAAAATGGCTTTGTACTGGAGTTGAATATTTTGTTTCGAATACCAAAAAAGTGTTTTAATTCAAAAGGAGACGATAGTTAAGTGGTTGTACTAAAGCAAAAATGTTTACCAGCGATACCTGATAATTTATTAATGATCATTTCTTCAACAAAGTACAGCTAGAATCCTCTCAAAATGTGAAATAACTGGTTCCTACAAATCAAAAATTAAAAGTGCCGCTGAAGCCCTCAGAATGGAAGGGAGGAATGATATATAATAATGTAATATAATGATAATAATAAGGAAATTATATAAATGGTATTGAATAATATTTAAAACAAATGATCAGTTTTCTACGTAACTATCCTCTTCATCCATGTACTGTATGATATAATTCTAAAAGAAATTATATGTCTGTTTATACTTAAGACTGGAGTACAGGTTTCAACAAAACGACATGACGTTATTTATCTGAGACTGGTTATGTTTGCGCAAGACATTCCGGAAATTCTGATCACCTGCGTACTTGTCAAAAATATTTATATAAAAAGCATCACAGCATAAAGGATCAAAGGTTTTTATCAATATTGGTTAAAACGTTTACAGGTCACAGTCACAGATATAAGGTAGGAAAATTAGCTAAGAAAGATCGGGAGTGAAAATATTTTTAAGTGAAATAAATCTTGGTTTCAAAACTGGATTACTAAGGCAGGTTGGAAGTAGTAACAAGTAAAATATAAAACAGGTTTAGGCCTTTTGATAGCTAAGGTTATGACGAATTAAAGTATATAAACCGAACCGTTTCATATACAGGTTTAAAGGCACTATTAATACCAACTTTGTGATGTGTTTTGAGATAGATGACGCTGGATATATATTTTCGGCATTAATTGAGTCAGTTGAATTTATTTATTCTTGCATCCACACATGATTGTGTTGTGTAGCCCAAACCTGCAGAGACTGGTGGATCCTCCCTATGTACGCGTGACCACACATATATGTAAATTGCTATACACAGTGGGATGTAATACTATCGTCTGAATGCTGTGAAGGTTTACAGGACGACGTAAATTTCATTTTCCTTATGCACAGTAAGTTCTATTGAGTGGCGCTCTTAGTTTTTTTTTGGTGATACAGATGTGTAAAGATGAACAAGAGTAGAAGGCATCAAAAGGCGTATATTACTGTAAGGTGATCCAGTTTCCTTGGCCACTGAAAAAAAGGAGTAAAACACCTAGCTGCAGAAAATAATAATTTCATCATTTATCAAGTGTTGGTTTGCAGGGATTTGATTGATTACTGGTTATTTTTCAAGTATTTTAAGCACATCCTCTGAAATCCAAACATTTGAGAGCCTATAGACATTATAACCCCACTGACATAAAATGAGTAGTCACACATGAATCTCTGGAGGCTGATTTATTTGAAATTTAGTAATTAATTCAGTAATTATTTAACAAGATCGTATTGCACACCCTTCAACTGTCACAATAAGTTTGTTACTTTCTAGCTGTTGTTTTCTTATGTAGTGACTTCCTAATCTATTTACTTTGTTTCTAAGAACGTTCATCTATTTTTCTTCACAGTGGATAAACGTTTATGAATTCGTCAACACATTTCACATCATACCTCTAATCAATTCATAAAATAAACAAATTTTGGCTGTAACGTACTAAGAACATAAGACAGATCCATTGTATTGATAAACAACTCAAACTTACTAAGACGACTGTCTAGGTTGAAACAAGCTACTTTTTGGTTTAGTGACAATAGTGGTTAAAATTATAAATATGTAGTGAATTCGTTCATTACATATTTGTAATTTAGCGTCAGTGGCACAGAGGTAGAATGATCGTCAGACACACATGTGGTTCGTGGTTCGATCTCCAGCCGATGCATTCCTTTACCTAGCTGAGCCAGTAATTAGAATGGTAAAGAGGGAAGGTTGGGTATGAGGATAGCAACCCCACCCCGTAAAAATAAACATCATCACTACCGGTACTTCAAAGCTCTAGCCTGAAGCCCTATGTTCCACTGGGAATGTAAAGCAATAAGATAAATAATAAATAATAATGAAATCGTTTGCAGTTGGTGTATTATTGTTGTGTTTCTAGCAGTGAATCTAAGTGAAAACTAGTCTCTACAGACAAAATGCCATCCTATGAGAATAAGGTTTGCAATGAAATAATTGAAATACTGTGCGTCATATATGACTGAATTTCATTTTAACACGAACCAAGTGCTGCAAGGGAGTTAATAATTCAAGACACAACTGACCAATCTCCTTGTAATGTGTAGCAATACAAATCTTTTCAGCTGATGTGATTTCATGGTGGAATCTTCCACTTAACTGACAGAAATACATGTGTGTTTATCTTGAATCATTTGTCTGTAACCTGACTAATAACTAGACTGATGAAGTAATCTTTTTTTTCTAAATATTGATTTCAAAATAATATCTGAGTATTCTCAAGTACATTAGATCGCCTTTCATATATCCTCATCAGTTAATTCCCAATAATGACAACCGATGCCAACATTCCTTTTCCTAGTTGTGGAATGGAAAGAAAATCTAAGCTATAATATTTTCTATGAAAGCTTTTATGACATAATTCCATGGCGTTCATTTCCCAGCTAATAAAATCGTAGAGTCACCGGAATTGTAACCTGTTTAAAAGGGATCATGTAGTCATTAAACATTCGAGATTGCATGTTTTACACATTCTTATAACACTCAGCTCCTTGGCGTAGTAACGCTAATTGTAACGGTGAAAAACAATTTAATGATAGGAAGTAGGTATACATTCTCCGTCTATATTTTTCTTTCAACATGAATTTAGGCCTAGAGTAATAGAAATTTGTTAAAATATGTCACTTTGACATAAGTGATAGCTGCAAAGGAAGGGAATGAGGTAGGCACTACCCATAACAGTCGACTGTTTAGTGTCGTTCAACAAAATTTAACTGTATATATTCACAAATTCTCAGTGGGTTACAGATCTAACCAACCACGAAATGTTTCGTAAGTTATTCCAACATACATGATAAGATCATATACACAAACCAGGAAATATAAAAATCTACTTGTATCGACAGTTTTATTTCATATTTCAGTAATCGTTACTGATTTACTGGTATGGAATCCTGTTTACCATTTGGGCTAGAAAAAGGCCTACTTTTTTATTCATAGATTCGTTGAACGTCTTTGAAGAAGCTATAGTAATTTACATTGTCACTGGAAAGACATCGAAAAATAAGGAGTAATAGGAGATCTAAACGATGAGGAGAATCCACTATGCAACAGGCAACGACTAATACAAACTGAGTGACACTATATACAAATTGCGAAGCTGTTACAAAATTTATTGCTCTGTTTATTTCTTTCGTCTTAATTTTGTCCCAAGAAAAATTAGATTACTGCTGCTGCTACTGCTACTAGAGTAAAGAGAACAGGACTGCTGAAAGCATTAGTGGTTATCGCTAATCTCCTTACTTTTCTGTTAACGTCAGTAGATACTGGTTAATTTTCTGAAGATGTTAATATTAGATGACCCAGAGATGAATGTTGGTGAATACATATTCATCAGACGGGTCAAATATATGTAAATCAGCAGGAATTACTTTGGCGACAGATAAGTCAAATGGATAAACATTATCTCAGATAATTGGAAAAAACGAACAAAGTTCCATCAGAGTTTTATGGGAATCAAATTTAATTTTAGAAAACAAACAAACAGCTCTAATTCTAAATGATATTAAAGTAAAAAAATCAATAAATTTAAGCACAATGGAATCAATAAAACACTTAATCTTATCATTAATCGAATTAAGACAGCTGTCAAAACAGAGGGCTTAAGGGTTGTGTCATGTGATAAAGTCATGCTCCAAAATAACTTTCTGTTTGTTCAGACTATATTTTCTCTCTTATAATTTTTGCAAGCCTTTTAAAACAAGATGTTTTTCAACTGAACAATAATTGCCTGAGACACGATGGCTGCTAAAACAAACAACCAACAAGTTACAAGTACATTTCTTGATTCATATACCAAATATAAGTTTCAATTTGATGATAAAAAATGGCTTACTGTTCATTCAAGATTTCGTCAATTTTTGAATGTAAAATAACTTATTCGTCCCAAAACATGTAGTCTGTTAGTTTCAGGATTTCTATGTGTCCTAAACACCATAAAAGTATTTTAATTCTGTACCTCTCGTTGAAGTAGGTCAATTATTAGTTCACTGTTTTATTTATTTACAGTCAAAGTAGAAACCAAACAGACAATCTCCTTTCTGGACGTTCGTTTAAGTAAGAAGACCGATGGTACCTTGAACAGATCAGTACACAGAAAACCTACGTGGAACGGTCAGTTGACAAACTTCTACAGTTGGGTACCAATTAGTCGCAAGCGAAACTTGATAATATCTCTGGCGACTAGAATCCGAAAAATCTGTAGTCTTGAGTCAATAGAGGAAGAGATCGCCCTCTTAAGGAAGACACTGCTCGAGAATGGTTACCCACCCCGTTTTATAGACAAGCATATTAAGCCTAAGACTCACAATGAACAACCCATTATAGTGCAGAAGAAGATGGTCTACATGAATGTACCCTTCAAAGGTGACCTTCTGGTTGACACCTTGAAGAAGAGGATATCTACTGCTCTCAGAAGGACATTCTTCGCTGCCACACTACGACTGACATTTTCCTCCCGGCCATTGTTCTTCAACTACTCTAAAGATAAACTATCGCATTTGACCACTTCCATGTGAATCTACCAATTCACCTGCTCTTGTGGAGCGAGGTATATAGGTCGTTCGATGCGTGTTTTATCTAAAAGAGTTCAAGAACACTATCCCGCCTGGCTACGGAAAGGTAACAACGGAGCAATAAGGAGCGCCATTATTGAGCATATACTCAACACTGGTCATTCGATTTGCAAGGAGAAGTAGTTCAAAGTCATCTGTAAAGTCAAAAGAAGTTTTCCAAAGTCGACAATCTTCCGTATACTTTGTATTGCCGAAGCCTTAACGATTTGGATAGAAAAGCCTGATTTATGCACACAGAAGAAACTTCTCCACCCCCTCCTACTACCATGGGTTTAATTTCAAGTTTATCTGTCATCAACATTTTGTTATCAAATTTTTGCAATTTTTCGTATAACAATTTTTAGTAACTA